GGTCCTTTCTCTGGTTCACGCTGGAATGGTTTGATGTGACGGATCTGGCTGCTCCCCAACGCTTGCCCAAGTAGGAGATAGCCTTGTGCGCTCTTCCGCACCCACGGGCTCTTCTCCGGGTCGTTCTCGGGGCGCTTCTCCGTTCCTTCCATCACCTCCAGCAGGTCATAGTGGTCAAAGATGTTCTCCATCTTGAAGGACCATTCAGCAAAGTTGTCACCGTTGAACTTGTCAAGCCCAAACACCCTAGGCTCATCCCTAGGTGGGCCAAGACTTGGTTGCATGGGCGCCATGGCTGAATCACGGGGTTGGCCTTGAGCTTGAGCTTCTCCACTGCCACCAGCACCTCTGCCACCCCTTTCCTCAGGTCCAGACATTGTCGAAACTGCTCCAAGGGGCTCTGATACCACTTGTTATAGTCACAATAGGCTTGAATGTGCCTAAAACGAAAGATAGAGAGCACAGACGGATTTCTGCACAGCGGCTTCAAACGTTGATAGCGTTCTGCTCACAGCTGCAAATGACTTGATTCAAATTGGATCTGGAGCGTCTTCACGTCGTCTACAATTAGCAATTTATATTGCACGATTTGATAAAGAATTGACGACACAGCGTCGGTTTGAACGAACGGTACTATGGCAGCCACTATAGTCTTAGAACACAAGATAGGAAGAGTTACGAGTTGGGAATGACTCCCAGCTCCTACAAACCCCAAGAGCCGAGGTACAGTGATGTGGAACAGTGCCACACTGTCCCCAACCACGAAGGGTCTCGAAACTACCCTTCACTAGGGCCTACACCAAGTGAAATGTTACACTACACAAAGTAATGTAACTATCTTCAATATCTTGAGGTGTACCCTTTTGGCAAGCTTCGAAATCACTTGAGGCTTGACACCAAGGCTCGGGCTCTTCATCACAAACTCATCCTTGAGTTCTTGATGGGTCTGCTGCACACACCTGCGACACGCCGAACGTTCGACACAGGACAAAATAGAAACCGCGCACGACAAAATAGAAACCGCGCGCGAGACACAAACGACCGCGTAACACGCGTCTAGCGATAACTCGCTATTGACTCCACACACACACTCGACATCATGACTCAACATTCACACACAATTATAAGCATGAAATATATATTATCCCATGCCCTCATACCATTCCATACACACACACATTCACGCACACGGACAACAAGCCGAGTGCAAACCGTAGGGTTGCACCAACATTAGACAATTCTCCGCATCCTCAGCAAATGATTCCATTTCGTTCGACGTGGTCCGCATGATTTGAGCGCCTGAACTCTGCCCGGTACGCTCATTATATGTGCCCATACTGACCAGTCTGCCCAACGCGCCACTTTGATTGGTCCACTGCGTTGGATGCCTCTTTTTTTTTTTGTCCACTAGATTATACTATATTCCGCACCCACAGTAAGTGTTTCCATTTCGTTCCTTGTGGTTCGCAAGATTTGAGCGCCTGAACCCTGCCTGCTACGCTCGTTATACGTGTCCATACTGTCCAGACTGCCCAACGCATCACTTTGATTGGTCCACTGCGTTGGAGCCTCTATATTTTTGCTAGGCCTTTAGATTAGACTATTCTCCACATCCTCAGCAAGTGTTTCTATTTCGTTCTTTGTCGTTTGCAAGATTTGAGCGCCTGAACTCCGCATGCTACGCTCATTAAATGTGCCCATTCTGACCAGACCGGCCAACACATCACTTTGATTGGTCCATTGCGTTGGATGCCTTTTTTTTATTGCTATTCCACTAGATTAGACTATTTTCTGAATCCAGAGCAAGCATTTCCATTTCGTTCCATGTTGTTTGCAAGATTTGGGCGCATCATCTCTGCCTGGTACGCTCATTACATGTGCCCATACTGACGAGACCGCCCAACAAATATATCTCACATTCCCCATACCCCATAGGTTTAGTGAACATGCCTTAGGAGCTTCAAATGTGTGCAACTGCTTGGCACGTATGGTGCGCCGTAGTGGCCAATATTAACTAGTTGTATGTAACGAATGTGTTGAAGTGGTTTCAGTATTGTGGAGCTTTCGAAATGAAGAACTTTTCCCCTATGTTTCTCTTGTGCTGGATTCTACACAGTGATTTAGGACCCACTGAGCACCGCAGCACCTGAATAGCAGTATCAATAAGTCACATGTACGGTATAGTGAGGTGAGCTGATTCCCTACATTTGTGAGTTTTATGTACATCTCAACTCAAACCTTACAGCAGAAAGACCTTACCATATTACGTTTCATGTACAAGCGGAGCATTTCCAAGCCACGTGCCGCCATGTGCGCTGGTTTTTTTTTCAACACCTTCCTCGAAGCTCAAGAGTGAATGTGCTTAGAAACTTATGACGGGTACAGTTACCACAATGGTCCCATCACAGTCAGCACGCATGTCTGACCCCACCAACCAAACGAACCGAGTTGTCACGCAAATGGACGGGCCTTCCTACTGGCTGCACCGACTTGCATGACATCTGGAAGCTTTTTACTCGGTGAATTGGACACGCGACACACGCAATATCCCACCGGACCTCTGACCAAGCCTCACACGTTGCCACGGAGGTTCAGGTCAAGCTGGGAGGGAACGCGAGAATCCCCCCTCGAGAAAGTCGCGCCGAAATCCGGAGCACCTCCGTGTCATGTCACGGGGACACCCCTGGCCAGAATGTTCATCTGCGAGAATTTCGTGCCATTCCGCTAAAATGGCTCGAGAGTGCTTCCTTCCGCCCGCGCAACAGAACCGCGTTGGTGCCGGCGGATACACGGGGAGGTTGGACTTGGCGCTTGCGTTGCGTTGCGCGCGGGCAGGCACAGTGCTTGAGGGGAGGGGGGGGGATGCCAAGCCAGACGGGGCCAGGTAAGAACTGCTTCCTGCTGCTGCGGAAACCCAACCTTCTCCAATCGCGTCGCAATTGCACGATTTGAGGCGCCATGGTCTTATATATTGTTCCGTGCAGGCATTGACAGCTCATTCTGAGCACAGTCAGTAATTACTCGCCACCAATTTGTCAAGCGGGACCTGACGACCTGCGAACTACCCTGCTACTAGCTTACTACTACTACCACTCAGCGTTTGTTTCTTAGTGAATCAGATGACGACACTGATTTCCTCCGTGTCCCTCCACCAGCGGAGCATCGCTGAACCTCGATTTCATCTGGAAGTGGTCGAAGCGTTTCGCCTTATCGACACAAATGGCGACGGCCGGATTTCGTACGAAGAGCTCGCCACTCTCCTTGATCGCCTTGGGATTGACGACGGTCTGGCCGTTGTTCACGATATCATCGGCGACGCGGATCGTGACGGCGACGGTCAGATCGACGTTGAAGAGTTTTTAATTGCTGCCCGTGGAGCGCCGTGTAACTGCCGCGTCACCGGCTTATCTTGCTGGCATGAAAACGAGGACCTGCAGAAGGCCTTTACGCTCTTCGATTGTGACAATAGCGGGGACATTACAGCGGAGAAGCTACAGATGGCGATTTGGAAGATAAACGGCGAATCCGTCAGCCTGTTGAATTGTCAACGCATGATCGCGAGAGTTGACTCTAACGGGGATGGAATGGTCGACTTTAACGAGTTTCAACGTATGATGGATGGAGTGTTCGGCTGAAAGCATGGCGCTGCTTCCGTCCGTCACCGAGGCGGTTCTCAACTTCTGAAGGCCCAGTGGCACCACCGTCAATAATAAACGATATCATGTTGACATTAATCGTTTACGCGGAATAAGTGCCAGGGGTTTCTGTTCTAATTCACCCGTGACGGCGTTTCCGTTCTGTTTTCAGATTCTACATGAATTTGGAATGTGTGACGCCAATAGTCTCAATATTCTGATCCTTTGTTTGCGGAGCTCCTGCATACACTTAGTTGGCTGGGACCTTATCTTGTACTTAAGATGATTTTAAGGAGATGACCTCTTGTACATCAACCTACTTTTCTGCATCTAAGGGTACGTTCTTGGCTGGTGTCAGGCTCGCTGACACAAGGCTGATGGACGATTTTGATCATTCCAAGTCATCATCGTCAATATCTACTAAAATCCCAACCTTTCAGAGCTTGGTGTCAAGATTCTTGACACCAACTAAGAACGCACCCTACGTTTTCACACCGGTATTCTCTGAAAAGCATGCGGTGCTATCAGGACAGTCTCTGCATGGAATACCTCAAGCACCTCCTTTGATAAATCGCTGGCACGTTCATGAATGAAATGATTTCACTGCTTTCCACTGGCCTGGCAGTCAAATCTCACAACAGAAATTGCTGGTTGCCAGAACATTGGGGCAGAAAACGCTTGTGATAAATAGCCGAACGTGCATGGATACATACAGAGATCTAAGCTGGTTATAGATAGAGCATGGAAAGTTTATTAGAGTTAAGCTAGCTGAATAGGACAAGATGTCTACAATCAAGGCCCTCCCTGAAGAGAACGCTTAGCTGGACCAGTGTACTCTTGAGGCATATCAAAGATACAGCAGGAGCAGTCTAGGCGAGCAGAGAAAGGGTGAGAAGCAGAGCAGATGCGGCCGGAGTGCTTGAGGCAGGAGTTGAGTTGAAAAGCTGGCGAGTTGATATGTTGGACTGATATGTGGAGCTGATCTGTGGGGCTAGATCGCAGGAAGAATGCTGATTCTAGATTGCAGGGAGGGTGGTGGTGGCAAGCAGACCTTTGAACACTACTGCCGAGTAGGCGGAGCGGAACAAATCAGCAGGGAGGGTGTTGGGGCGGAGTGGGGATAGGATTACAGGGAGAGAGTTGGGGCCAGACTGCAGGAAGAGTGTTGAGTCTAGATTGCAGGGAGGGTGTTGGACATGCGGAGTGTTTGAATGGTGGCAAGCAGGCCTTTGAATACCACAGCGGAGTAGGCGGAGCGGAAGGAGTCGACACGTGGGGCTAGGATTGCAGGGAGAGTGTTGGAGCTAGATGGCAGGAAGAATGTTTGGGCTAGGCCGCAGGGAGGGTGTTGGGGACAGATTGGGGCTAAATAGCGGGAAGGGTGTTGGACATGCGGAGTGTTTGGATGGTGGCAAGCAGGCCCTTGAACACCACAGCAGAGTAGGCGGAGCGGAACGAGTCGAGCAGAGCAGGGGAGGGGTCGGAGGCAACGCGGGTGAGGCAGAACTCGAGGAAGCCAGACTGGAAGGGTGAGGGGCTCTTGAGCTGCTGCTGGTAACGCTGTAACCACAGGTGCGCCATGACTTGGCACATGGCCTCCTCGATCTCTGAGGGAAGCGCTGAGAAGGCACCTGCGGGGATAAGGAGGAAGGGAAGGGAAGAAAAGGCGGTTTGAGCTGCTGCTGGTAACGCTGTAACCACAGGTGTGCCATCACCTGGCACATTGCCTCCTCGATTTCTGATGACAGAGCAGAGAAGGCACCTGTGGGGAAAGGAGGAGGGAGCGAGGCCAGGAGAGGGTTGAGAGCAGGTACTGCTGGTAATTGCAGTGCCCTGCCCAGGATCAACACACCCAGTATCGTGAGAGCCAAGTCCATACATGTCTCATAGCTCGTGACAGCAGGCGCTTGATCAACACTCAATGCATGCACGAGGCACGGGATGTACCATCGAGGATGAACCATGCATGCATTGTGCATGAGCTGATTGGCCATGACCCAGAGCAGAGAGAGATAGACAGACATCGGCAGGACCACCATGTATGCATGACTCATGAGGCAAGTTATGGCATGAAAAGACAAGGGGACTTACCATCGAGGAGGAACCATGCATGCATGAGCTGATTGGCTATGAGTCAGAGCAAAGCCAAACAGACATAAGGCACGCAAGGCAAGGAGCGACGTACCATCGAGAAGGAACCATGCATGCATGAGCTGATTGGCTATGACTGCCCCCGCCAGAGGTCTGATGGTGAAGGGGACAGGGGCGAGGGAGACAGGTGCGAGAGGAACAGGGGCGAGAGGGGCAGGTGTGGGGGGTACAAGGGAGGGACACAGGCGTCAGGAGGACAGGGGCGAAGGGGACAGGGGGGCGAAGGGGGTAGTAATGAGGAGACACAGAACCCATCAAGGAGGAACAATGCACGCATGAGCTGATTGGCTATGATGACTGCCCCGGCCAGAGGACTGGTGGTGATGGGGGGGAAGGGGGGAAGGGAACAAGGGCGGGGAGGACAGGGGGAAAGGGGACAGGGATGAGAAGCGAGAATACAAGGGGCATGATGGGAGGAGTGAAAGGGAAGAGGTGAGAAAGGTTTGCAAGTGGGGAAGGAGGGGGATGGGTAGGTTGGTGTGGTGGAGTTGGTGGTTAGGATGGTGCATGGTGCATGCATGGTGCATGCATGGTGCATGCATGGCACATGTTGTGATCCAGCACATTGCTGCATGCATGCATGGAAGGGGAATGCCTTGTTGGAACATACGCTGGGAGGCCGTAGAGAACGACAATGCCCGAGACGGCAGTGGAGGTGACATGCGTCAGTGACAGCAGTGACAGCAGTGACAGCAGTGCACAATACACTCACACGACGACATGTAGGTCCATGCACAAACACATGCAAGGCGGTCGATGAATGCACGCATTTCCATGAGGGCAAGTCTACGGAAGGGCGTGGAACATACGCTGGGAGGCCGTAGAGAACGACAATGCCCGAGACGGCAGTGGAGTTGACATGCATCAGTGTCTTGGTTTCATGTGAGATGCCTGCAAAGGCCGCTGCTGTGGACCCTGGTGCCCGTACGACCTGTAGGAAAGAGGAGGTGGGGCACAGAGGAGGTGGGGCACAGAGGAGGTGGGGCACAGAGGAGGTGGGGCACAGAGGAGGTGGGGCACAGAGGAGGTGGGGCACAGAGGAGGTGGGGCACAGAGGAGGTGGGGCACAGATGAGTTCACACGCACTACTAAGCGGCTTGGCCTGATGCGATAGGCTTTGATATGAAGGTTGTCTGATAGAGGGGAGATTGTGGGAGGAACAGGGAGGAGAGGCGAGAGACGGGGAGCGATATCAGAACTAGGAGTGTGGTTAGTTGTAACCTAGAGGCCCGATTAGCATAATGAGAAAACAGACATCAGAACTTTAGCAGAGAGAAGAAAAGGGAAAAAGAAAAAAGGAAAGAACCAGGAAAAGAACCTTGAAACAGCGCTAGAGGCAACTCAGAAGCTACATGGTGAGTAATGAAAAGATACTGGAAAGATGCTGGAAAGATGCTGGAAAGATGCTGAAAAGATGCTGGAAAGATGCTGGAACGATGCTGGAAAGATGCTGGATAGATGCTGGAACGATGCTGGAACGATGCTGGAAAGATGCTGGATAGATGCTGGAACGATGCTGGAACGATGCTGGAAAGATGCTGGATAGATGCTGGAACGATGCTGGAACGATGCTGGAAAGATGCTGGATAGATGCTGGAACGATGCTGGAACGATGCTGGAAAGATGCTGGAATGACACCGAAATGACATTGAAATGACACTGAAGTGACATTGAAATGACACTGAGATGATGCTATGATCAGATCGTACTCAGATGATTTGGAAACTCACTGTTTGGATGGTGGTTTCTTGAGTGAGGCACACTCCAGGTACCACCGCCAGGCGAGATGAACCCTGATGCCACACCACGCACGCCATGCAACAGAGGGAAAGTCCAGACAATGACATGCAAGCCCATCCAGGGATGCAGCGTACGTTTTTTTAGAATTCTCAAAAACCCACGCCATGCAACAGAGGGAAAGTCCAGACAATGACATACATGTGTGTGTATGCATGCAGACAAACCCATCCAGGGATGCATGCATGTGTGAAGAAAGCTAACACACATTGAGAGAGTCCGGCCATGCTGGTTCCAAAAACATTGTTTGCACACTAGACCACCATGAGTGTATGCGGATCAACCCTCCCCACCTCTCCACTTCCTTCTTCATGGGAAAGATTCTAAGCTGAATCTTTCCTTGTGATTGATTTTTGAGAACTCTGAAAAATTCCACCCCCGACTCTCTCCTTCCCCCTTCCTCTTCTCACCAAGAAACCCCACCCACCCTGCTCACCCCCCCATTCCCCCCACCCCACTCTCACCTGTCTCTCGCCCTCAGCAGCAGCTTGTAACGCCGCCACATCCGCGGTAACCACCCGTCCTCAAATTCCCCCATCTCTTCACGCCATTCCCCGCCCCCCCCCCCATTCCCCCCACCCCACTCTCACCTGTCTCTCGCCCTCAGCAGCAGCTTGTAACGCCGCCACATCCGCGGTAACCACCCGTCCTCAAATTCCCCCATCTCTTCACGCCATTCCCCGCCCCCCCCCCATTCCCCCCACCCCACTCTCACCTGTCTCTCGCCCTCAGCAGCAGCTTGTAACGCCGCGACATCCGTGGTAACCACCCCCCTCCCTCCCTTATTCAACAACCCCTCCCTCTCTTCACACCCTCTGCCCCTCTGTTCCACCCCACCTCCCAACCCCTTCCCTCTCACCTGTCTCTCGCCCTCAGCAGCAGCTTGTAACGCCGCCACGTCAGCAGTAACCACCGGGAGCTCGTCGCCCATCACGCCCACAGCACCCCTCAGCACCGCTCCCAACCCAACCTCCTCAAAGAAACTCAGCACAGAGGCAAAAATAGGGGCACATTCAGAGGCCTCTACTACTAGAGTCCCCAGCGAGGAGGAGGAGGAGGAGGTGAGGGCGGAGAGTGCGGAGCCATGGGGAGAGGGCCAGGAGCAGGTGTTACAATCGGGGCAGAGCGTGCGGTTACCGCCAATGTCCACCATTGTGCATGTGGTGGGCTGCAGGAGGGAACGAGGGAGAGTGGACGGTGGGAGGGGGGATGGAGAGAAAAGGGGAGAGGGTACGTCATGATAAGGAGGGAATGATCAGAGGAAGGGCTGTGCTTAAGCCCGCCAGTGACTTTTGCGTCGACTCAAACTTCAGGTCATTAGAGGAAGGGCTGTGCTTGGCGCAGTGCTTGTGCTCAAGCCACTAGTCAGCCAATTTACCCGTAACAATAAACCTTAGAAAGACCTCGACAGATGGAATGGGGTCGAAGGGTCTACACTGTGTGTCAGACATGGACTGACTGACTGACTGACTGACTGACGGCACCTGGAGGCGAGTGCAGGCGGAGCAGAGGGGCGAGCCATCAGAGGAAGGGCTGTGCTTGGCGCAGTGCTTGGCGTGCCACAGGTCGTTCAGTCGATACTCCACCATGCCCGACTCGCTGGGGGCGATCTGCGAAAACCAAAGAGGGGAGGAAGGGGCAGGTAGGAGAGAGGGGGGAGAGGGCTGCGCTAGCCTGCTAGGCAGAGAGTGCTTGGCGTGCCACAGGTCGTTGAGTCGATACTCCACCATGCCAGACTCACTGGGGGCGATCTGTGGAGATTACAGAGGAGGGGTCATACACACAGGAACAGAGGTGACAGGTGGTTTAGGGTTAAGTGAGTAGATGGGGGTGAAAGCCATTAGGGGCACTTACGTAAGTGTCGCAGACGTAGCACTTGGGGTGGAAGAGCTGGCGGTAGCACTCGGTGTGGTAAGTGTCACCCTCCTTCACAGAGCACTGCAAAGAACAGGACAGGAGTGAAAAGAGCATAACAGTGTCACGAGCAGCGCATTTTGAGAATGATCAAAACACATGTACATATGAAGAACACCGAGGGCCGTGAAGCGATCACCATGAAGCGAAAACCATGAAGCGAAAACCATGAAGCGAAAACCATGAAGCGAAAACCATGAAGCGAAAACCATGAAGCGAAAACCATGAAGCGAAAACCATGAAGCGAAAACCATGAAGCGAAAACCATGAAGCGAAAACCATGAAGCAAGGGCCGTTCCATAGTAGGAGGTGAGGAAGCTTGGACAGGAGATCATAATACTACCTCACTACCCAAAATCACTCACACCCCCTCTCACTCCCCCTCACTCTGACTCCCCCCTCACCTGCATTTCAGTGATGGGTAGGCGGCAGTGGCAGCACTTGAAGCAAGCCGCATGCCAGTCACGGTTCAGAGCAATCAGGTACCTCCCAGAATTGATAGTCCGCTCACAAGCACCACATATGCCGTGCCTTGTGGGTCTGAAGGTGAAGGGGAAGGGGTATAGGGGTAGGGGTAGGGAGAATGGGTATAGGGCCATGACAGGGGCGGTTCAGAGCAATCAGGTACCTCCCCGAATCGAATAGTCCGCTCACACGCCCCGCATATGCCGTGCCTTGTGGGTCTGCACGGGGGCAGGGCGAGAGGGTAGGCAAAGGACACGAAGGGGTGAGAAAGCAGCAGTGGCGGCGGCAGTGGCAGCAGCAGCAGCAGCAGCAGCAGCAGCAGCAGCAGGCACAGGACCGTTCAAAGAGGCAATGACAAAAGTTACACCCGAATCACTTCATGACTCACGCGGCGTGGAATCCCTTCATGGGTGTCACCAGCACCAGCGCCCCACTCGTCGCATCCAACCCCCCTCCCAACCCTCCCAATCCTCCAGCAGCAGCAGCAGCAGCGGCACCAGCGGGCACAGGTCCGTCCACCAGAGCCAGCAGATCGACCTCCCCATTCGCCTGCTTTGGAGCCACTGAATTCACCTTCTCCAGGAGAGATGCCTCTGACGTGCCAGTGTCAATGTCCTGGGGTTGGTAGGGATGTGGTGGATGGGTGGGTGAAAGAAAACAAGAAACTGATTAGCGGCAGCGGGCACGGGTCCGTCCTCCAGAGCCAGCAGATCGAATTCACCTTCTCTAGGAGAGACGCCTCTGATATGCCAGTGTCAATGTCCTGAGGAGGCCCAGTGGGAGCACTGTAAAGCACCAGAGCGCCCGGCCCTGCATTTGTGCCCAGCCCCAGTAAATCGCCCTCCCTCACCATTTCGAGATCCCGTCCCACTCACCAGAAGGCTGATCTCTTGCTGAAACGCCCTGGAAATGAGGTCATCCGCAGTGGGAGCACTGTATAGCACCAGAGCGCCCGGCCCTGCATTTGTGCCCAGCCCCAGTAAATCGCCCTCCCTCACCATTTCGAGATCCCGTCCCACTCACCAGAAGGCTGATCTCTTGCTGAAACGCCCTGGAAATGAGGTCATCCGCAGTGGGAGCACTGTATAGCACCAGAGCGCCTGGCCCCGCGTCTGTTCCGAGCCCCAGGAGATCGTCTTCCATGGACAGCAGGTCCGGTGGTGGCGATGCGATGCGATGTCCATCCGTTTACCCTCTTCCATGGATAGCAGGTCCGGTGGTGGCGATGCCCATCCCTCCTCCAGTCACCCATCCCTTCTCCAGTCACCCTCCCTCCCTTACCACCGCCACCCCCCGACTCACCAGAAGGCTGATCTCTTGCTGAAACGCCCTGGAAATCAGGTCATCGGCAGTAGGAGCACTGTAGAGCACCAGAGCCCCCGGCCCTGCGTCTGTCCCGAGGCCCAGCAGATCATCTTCCATGGATAGCAGGTCCGGTGGTGGCGATGCTGCTGCTGCTGCTGCTGCTGCTGCTGCAGCTGCTGCTGCTGCTTCGGCCTCTGCTGCTGCCTCCTCCTCTGCCTTTTGGCGGGCTGAAGGGAAGGCAGGGACGTGGCAGTGTGAGGGGTTCCAGTGAGAGAAAACGAAGGGAATACAGGGAGTGAGATGGTTTCAGCAGAAGCAGGTAGAGTCACCCTTTCCGTCTCCCATTTATGTATGATCTGTGATAATTTTGATAAATAAGGATGCCCGTGGCATGTGCACATGCATGTGCCTTCGTTGTGTTGCGTCTGTGCGTGTTTGATCATGCGTGCTATTGCACCCCCCTCATCTCACCACTCATCAGGTCTTCACCACGACGAAGCCATTCATGCGTGCTATTGCACCCGCCTCAACTCACCTCACCACTCATCAGGTCTTCACCACGCACCTCTCTCCTCCTCCTCCTCTCGTCGTATGCTTTCCGCCCTCTCCTCCTCCCACTCCTCCTCCTCTTCCTTCTCTCGGTCGTTAAGTCCAATCCGCACCCCAACCAAGCCATTCATGCATGCAATTTCACTCACTTCACCTCACCACTCATCCGCACCGCACTTCACCACGCACCTCTCTCCTCTTCCTCCTCTCGTCGTATGCGCTCCGCCCTCTCCCTCTCGCGCGCCTCCTCCTCTTCCTTCTCTCGGTCATATGGTCGATCCTGCACCCAATCAAGCCAGCCATTTTGAACCAGCCATTTCGAGCCAATACCCCAAACATACATGCAATCCGCAAGTCCATACATTCATGCCACGCCATGCCATGCCATGCCATGCCATGCCATGCCATGCCATGCCATGCCACGCCATGCCATGCCATGCCACGCCACGCCATGCCATGCCACGCCACGCCATGCCATGCCACGCCACGCCATGCCATGCCACTCCATGACACCATCACATGCCATGCCATGCCATGGATCCACAACGATAGCCCACCAAGAATCAGATCCACCATGGCAGGTCATGCATCCCAGAACAACACTTCGAGATCAGCCATAACATACCAACCGCACATGAGGATTCGTTAAAAATCCGTTACAAAGACCTGCCAACACTAACGACAATCGATTTCATTTCTATGTGCAATACGCTGAGCCTGGGCAAAACAGTCATGCCCATATTGCCTAAACACGCACCCGCGCATAGTCGTCATAGCCATAGCGGCTCCCCCGCTCGTCGTCATATCGCCCGCCATACCCCTGCCTCATACCCTTCGCCATACCCCTTTTGATTTCTCAAAAGTGACTCCAAAACGCACCCGTGCATAATCGTCATAGCCATATCGGCTGCCCCTCTCATCGACATACCCCCCCCCCATACCCCTGTCCCTGGCCTCCCCCATCATAACCATAACATCTCACAAACGCACCCGAGCATAGTCGTCATAGCCATATCGGCTGCCCCGCTCGTCGTCATATCGCCCGCCATACCCCTGCCCCTGGCTTCCCCCGTCGCTCCGCTGGTCCTGCAACTGGGGCGCGCGATGGTCGTACCCGGGGGGCTGGGGAAGCGGGGAGCGGAGAAAGAAGGAACGGGGATCCGGGGGGGTGGGAAGAGCGCGCGCAAGGGGAACGGGATATGACGGGGTTGGAAGGGAGTTCGGAGAAACGGGGAAACCCGGGAGTGGGGGAGTGGAATGAGAATTTTGATGCGAGACATGGGGAAAAGGAGGAGGGGAGGGGAAGCGGAAAGGGGGGGAAGAGAGGAAGGGGGATGGAGGAGGAAGGGGGGGTTGGGGAGCTGGGGGGAGTGGGGAGGTGATAACACGGCAGTATTGCCCGATACGTAACGCCGGTACGTAACCAGGGACTACGTACCGCAGTACTGGACCATTTGAGCCACCAGGGCGATTCATCTTGCATGCCGCCATTGAAGCGGTACGTACGGCCGACGCCCTCGTCCATGTCGTCTTGTGGTAACGGCGCGTGCTGATGCTCCAACGCACTCATCACAAACCTGCGAGCACGGGAGAGGGGGAGGGGGAAGAGACTTTTGAGTCGACTCAAAGTGGAAGCAGTACGTACGATCAACACCCTCGTCCATGTCATCTTGCGGTAACGGCGCGTGCTGATGCTCCAACGCACTCATCACAAACCTGCGAGCACGGGAGAGGAGGGAGAGGAGTGAGAGAGAAAGAGCAGTACGGTTTTTAGAAGGGTATGGATGCACGGCATGGAAAGAGGGACCAGACGGAGCGCCCGACGAGTGACGAGAAATTTGAACGATCGGACCAAGCGACCACTGAAGAGAGCGTTTACTACACGGATAAAGACGATACGCATGCTGCCTACGTGGCCTATTGAACGCCACATCTCACAACCGCGTGTTTTGTAACGCATTTTGCAATAACGCGTGGCATTTATTACTAACAAAACACATGTCAACTGATATTCGAGTATTCTATAATCTATTATTAAATTCATCACTGGTCAAGTTCGCTAAAGATCCGTTCTTTGTCATGACTGCGGGACGACAACAGGATAACCTCACACCTATAGACGCGTCAATGAAAACTCAGCAGACCGATTTGTCTCTACATGTAATCTGATGGACAGTTAAATCATGCGTGTACACTAATCATGAAACGTTTTTTTTTTTACCATGATATGACATTGCCGATCACCTCGTCCGCTGGGACGTTTTTGAGTCGACTCAAAACTGATAATCAAATTATATCTCGCGCCTCTGATCAAGGAAACGCATACCTTCGGAACCATGACGTGACATTGCCGACCACTTCGTCTACTTGCTCCATCTTCGCTGAACTAGCGAAACGAATCAATGGCGCGATAAATTACTATAATCTAATACTCCGCGTCGAACTGGATCGGTAAAATCCTCCAAGGCTATAGCTTGCAGTGTCTAAGCGAAGCTCTAGAAGAAAAAGAGGGCATATTGCGGATCAGAATGGGCCTGAGGCCAGAAGCTTCAGAACCGGATTGCTCACACATTCTAGGCCTGACTCAGTAAATGCACGCATATCCAATGCTAGAACTCTATTGTGCCCTTATTCCGTCCTCCTAAGCTTCACGATCTAAACCTGCATTATAGGCAGCAGCCTCACTAGTCTAAGGAAATCTTGAAATAAAACGCCCTGCAGAAAGAAAATGGCCCTGGATTCCAAGCTAAGAAATTCCACCAACTTCCAAGCTAAGAAATTCCACCAGCTCCTCCCAACCAACCAATCCGGCCCACTAGGCAACTGCCCCAGCCCTTGGAGTACGGGCAGTGTTCTCGCACCTCACACCTGCCCCTGGGCGGTTTGGCGCGGTTTGCACAGGCGGAGAGCGCAGAAAGCGAGCGCAGAGAAGGGCGCAGGTCTACGCGGAATTTGTAGGTTTGCTTTGCTGGAGACTCCAAGTTGAGGTGCGCGTGTACACTGAAGCGGATAGTGCGGAGGCTGGGTTGTTTCGGGAGTAGGCGGATGTTTGGCGGAAAAGCGGGCAGGTGATTGCGAAGGTGTGCGACTGGCGCTTCTAGCGCAGCGAATTTCTTGAGGGGTACGACCTGGATGTTTGATGTGCTTTCCAGCCGCCAGTTCGTGAGCGACAACGTCGGCCCTCAAGGTCGTCATATCCTCCTCTTTGACCGTTTCGTTTCCATGTGATCTAGAGAAAGCTTTCAACTCTATAAGATAAATGAAGAAACTTAGGCCTTGCATCAGCCCTTATCCCTTTGTCGTGTCCAACATCCAAACCCAGGATGCAAATGAAATGGTACAGAGATCTCTACAGTGAATCCTATACTACTTGCTTATACGAGGGATGCAACATGGTCCAATCCAATCACATATATCACATGCATTGCGCATTCAGTTGGTACCACAACTGGTAACGTCGTAAAGCACATCTATGGAGTGACACGAGAGCAGAACTGGAGAGGAGTGAAAGAAAGAATTGTATGTTAAGAACTCACTGCGTTTCACATACACTCATTGGATGTGTAGATCACATGAAAGGGCACTTGTTCTGCCCCACTCCCCTCCCCTCCGCCAAAAGCAGCGAATCTTGATACACCAAAAATTCCTTCCTTTCCCAGCAACAGTGTATCACATGAGAGAGCAGTCACTCTGCGTTGACCCACCCCTGCGCTGCCCCCTGCCCTGAGGGGTTGGCGGGGAGGAAGTGGTGTGTTGCGGTGTGGTGCGGCGCGAGGGGGATCTTGGTTGGGTGCTACCCTGCTGGGTGAAGGTTGGGGGGTTGGGGAAAAGGAGGGGACCGGGGAAGGAGGAGAGAAAGAAGAAAGAGGGAGAGGGGGATTGAGGGAGGGAGGGGAGGAGGGAGGGAGGGGGGGGAAGAGGAGGGAGGGAGGGAGAGGAAGGGAGGGAGGGAGGGGAATAGGGTCTGAACCAGGGAAGAAGCATGGGAAGCAAGGGGAAGACTGTAGCAGCGGTGTGCAGAGGTGTAAGTGAAAGACCGCTCTTTCCTCCCATACATGATCCCAATTTAGCCACATACTCCTCACACCTGTCGTCCCACTCCCCTCTTCTCCCGCTCCCCTCCCTCCTCCCTGACCCGCCTCCCCCTTCCCACTCCTCAAAACCCACGACTCCCACATGACGTACAAATATGAGCCCAGTCGCTGCTTCCCACGTGCTGCCCCACCCACTGTGTGTGATGAGGCGATTTGTGTCAACTCAAGAATCGCTTTTCCCCTCACCCCACGACTCCCACATGTCTTACAAATATGAGCCCAGTCGCTGCTTCCCACGTGCTGCCCCATCCACTGCTGCTCTCCCTCCCACCACCACCACCGTCGCTCCTCACTCCTGATACACCTCTCCCCTCTCCCCTGCCCCCCCGCCCCCTCCCCCTCCCTCTCCCCCCTAAATGATGCACATCTATCGGCCCTCCTGACCCTCCCACTGCTCCCTCCCGCCCCCACGCCCCTCCCCCACTTCCCCCTTCACTGCGCACCTGCCGTACACCCCCTGATCTCCCCCCCCTGCCTCCGCCCCTCCCCCTCCCCCCTGCCTGCTGCCGCTCTGCTGCCTCCACCTCCTGCTGCTGCAGCATCAGGGCGAGTTGAAGGTCGGAACTGGTGCAAGGGGAGGAGAAGTAGCAGGAGAAGGGAACAGGGCATAAGGGGATGAGACAAGAAACATTCTTCACACATCCTCTCCCCCCTGCCTGCTGCCTCTACCTCCTGCTGCTGTGACGTCAGAGCCAGTTGAAGATCCGAAAGGGGAGGCGAAGCAACAGGAGAAAAGATGAGAGGAATCACACAGAGAACTAGCAGGAGAAGGGGAAGAGGGCGTCCGGGAAAAAAAACAACAAAATTTTTTGGTTTTCACAGACCCCCTCCCTCTGCTTCCCCCATGCCGGCAGCTGCCCTTCCTCCACGCAAAGCAAGCTAAAATTTAAAGCTGGCATGGCAGCATGGAATATGCATGATTGAGTGCTTGTGGGGTGTGGTATGCGTGATACGTGAGGCGTGTGTGGGATGACTCACTGTGAAACGTCGATGCCTGGCTGAACCGTGGATGCAGCACAGGTGTGTGCCTGAGTAACTGTGCGGCGTGGTGTGGTGTGGTGTGGTTTGGTGTGGTGCGGTGTGGAACGTGTGAGGTTAGAAGAGTGCGTTGAGAGACTCACTGGTATGCGTCCATGCCTGGGACGAGCTCCTCCACCTCTACGCTTCTTGGAGGGGTGAATGCAGCACATATGTGTGAGGCCTAGAGCGGTGAATGCAGCACATATGTGTGAGGCCTAGAGGTGAATGCAGCACATATGTGTGAAGCCTAGAGCGGTGAATGCAGCACATATGTGTGAGGCCTAGAGCGGTGAATGCAGCACATATGTGTGAGGCCTAGAGCGGTGAATGCAGCACATATGTGTGAGGCCTAGAGTGGTGAATGCAGCACATATGTGTGAGGCCTAGAGCGGTGAATGCAGCACATATGTGTGAGGCCTAGAGCGGTGAATGCAGCACATATGTGTGAGGCCTAGAGCGGTGAATGCAGCACATATGTGTGAGGCCTGGAGCGGTGAATGCAGCACATATGTGTGAGGCCTAGCGCGAGGCCAAAGGTGTGAGGCCGAGGGTGTGAGGTGTGGGTTGAGAGACTCACTGGTATGCGTCCATGCCTGGTACGAGCTCCAGTCCTTCCAAGCTCGGAGGTACAGTGAATGCAGCACAGATGTGTGACTCTTGCAAGGCCTCAGGTCTGAGGTGTGAGCTCAGCCCTACCGTGTGAGGCCTACGGTGCCGGTTGAGAGGCTCAATGGTATGCAGCAGACGGAGCGGTGAATGCAGCAAAGGTGTGAGGCCGAGGGTGTGAGGTGTGGGTTGAGAGACTCACTGGCATGCGACCATGCCTGGTACGAGCTCCAATCCTTCCAAGACCTTCAAAGCAAGGCCTAGGTATGTGTGCCTGCATGGTGTGGTGAGAGTGAGGCCTACGGTGTGAGGTGTGGGTTGAGAGACTCACTGGTATGCGTCCATGCCTGGTACGAGCTCCAGTCCTTCCAAGCTCGGAGGTACAGTGAATGCAGCACAGATGTGTGACTCTTGCAAGGCCTCAGGTCTGAGGTGTGAGCTCAGCCCTACCGTGTGAGGCCTACAGTGCCGGTTGAGAGGCTCAATGGTATGCAGCAGACGGAGCGGTGAATGCAGCAAAGGTGTGAGGCCGAGGGTGTGAGGTGCGGGTTGAGAGACTCACTGGCATGCGTCCATGCCTGGTACGAGCTCCAGTCCTTCCAAGCTCGGAGGTACAGTGAATGCAGCACAGATGTGTGACTCTTGCAAGGCCTCAGGTCTGAGGTGTGAGCTCAGCCCTACCGTGTGAGGCCTACAGTGCCGGTTGAGAGGCTCAATGGTATGCAGCAGACAGAGCGGTGAATGCAGCAAAGGTGTGAGGCCGAGGGTGTGAGGTGTGGGTTGAGAGACTCACTGGCATGCGACCATGCCTGGTACGAGCTCCAATCCTTCCAAGACCTTCAAAGCAAGGCCTAGGTATGTGTGCCTGCATGGTGTGGTGAGAGTGAGGCCTACGGTGTGAGGTGTGGGTTGAGAGACTCACTGGTATGCGTCCATGCCTGGTACGAGCTCCAGTCCTTCCAAGCTCGGAGGTACAGTGAATGCAGCACAGATGTGTGACTCTTGCAAGGCCTCAGGTCTGAGGTGTGAGCTCAGCCCTACCGTGTGAGGCCTACAGTGCCGGTTGAGAGGCTCAATGGTATGCAGCAGACGGAGCGGTGAATGCAGCAAAGGTGTGAGGCCGAGGGTGTGAGGTGCGGGTTGAGAGACTCACTGGTATGCGTCCATGCCTGGTACGAGCTCCAGTCCTTCCAAGCTCGGAGGTACAGTGAATGCAGCACAGATGTGTGACTCTTGCAAGGCCTCAGGTCTGAGGTGTGAGCTCAGCCCTACCGTGTGAGGCCTACAGTGCCGGTTGAGAGGCTCAATGGTATGCAGCAGACAGAGCGGTGAATGCAGCAAAGGTGTGAGGCCGAGGGTGTGAGGTGTGGGTTGAGAGACTCACTGGCATGCGACCATGCCTGGTACGAGCTCCAATCCTTCCAAGACCTTCAAAGCAAGGCCTAGGTATGTGTGCCTGCATGGTGTGGTGAGAGTGAGGCCTACGGTGTGAGGTGTGGGTTGAGAGACTCACTGGTATGCGTCCATGCCTGGTACGAGCTCCAGTCCTTCCAAGCTCGGAGGTACAGTGAATGCAGCACAGATGTGTGACTCTTGCAAGGCCTCAGGTCTGAGGTGTGAGCTCAGCCCTACCGTGTGAGGCCTACAGTGCCGGTTGAGAGGCTCAATGGTATGCAGCAGACGGAGCGGTGAATGCAGCAAAGGTGTGAGGCCGAGGGTGTGAGGTGCGGGTTGAGAGACTCACTGGTATGCGTCCATGCCTGGTACGAGCTCCAGTCCTTCCAAGCTCGGAGGTACAGTGAATGCAGCACAGATGTGTGACTCTTGCAAGGCCTCAGGTCTGAGGTGTGAGCTCAGCCCTACCGTGTGAGGCCTACAGTGCCGGTTGAGAGGCTCAATGGTATGCAGCAGACAGAGCGGTGAATGCAGCAAAGGTGTGAGGCCGAGGGTGTGAGGTGTGGGTTGAGAGACTCACTGGCATGCGACCATGCCTGGTACGAGCTCCAATCCTTCCAAGACCTTCAAAGCAAGGCCTAGGTATGTGTGCCTGCATGGTGTGGTGAGAGTGAGGCCTACGGTGTGAGGTGTGGGTTGAGAGACTCACTGGTATGCGTCCATGCCTGGTACGAGCTCCAGTCCTTCCAAGCTCGGAGGTACAGTGAATGCAGCACAGATGTGTGACTCTTGCAAGGCCTCAGGTCTGAGGTGTGAGCTCAGCCCTACCGTGTGAGGCCTACAGTGCCGGTTGAGAGGCTCAATGGTATGCAGCAGACGGAGCGGTGAATGCAGCAAAGGTGTGAGGCCGAGGGTGTGAGGTGCGGGTTGAGAGACTCACTGGTATGCGTCCATGCCTGGTACGAGCTCCAGTCCTTCCAAGCTCGGAGGTACAGTGAATGCAGCACAGATGTGTGACTCTTGCAAGGCCTCAGGTCTGAGGTGTGAGCTCAGCCCTACCGTGTGAGGCCTACAGTGCCGGTTGAGAGGCTCAATGGTATGCAGCAGACAGAGCGGTGAATGCAGCAAAGGTGTGAGGCCGAGGGTGTGAGGTGTGGGTTGAGAGACTCACTGGCATGCGACCATGCCTGGTACGAGCTCCAATCCTTCCAAGACCTTCAAAGCAAGGCCTAGGTATGTGTGCCTGCATGGTGTGGTGAGAGTGAGGCCTACGGTGTGAGGTGTGGGTTGAGAGACTCACTGGTATGCGTCCATGCCTGGTACGAGCTCCAGTCCTTCCAAGCTCGGAGGTACAGTGAATGCAGCACAGATGTGTGACTCTTGCAAGGCCTCAGGTCTGAGGTGTGAGCTCAGCCCTACCGTGTGAGGCCTACGGTGCCGGTTGAGAGGCTCAATGGTATGCAGCAGACGGAGCGGTGAATGCAGCAAAGGTGTGAGGCCGAGGGTGTGAGGTGTGGGTTGAGAGACTCACTGGCATGCGACCATGCCTGGTATGAGCTCCAATCCTTCCAAGACCTTCAAAGCAAGGCCTAGGTATGTGTGCCTGCATGGTGTGGTGAGAGTGAGGCCTACGGTGTGAGGTGTGGGTTGAGAGACTCACTGGTATGCGTCCATGCCTGGTACGAGCTCCAGTCCTTCCAAGCTCGGAGGTACAGTGAATGCAGCACAGATGTGTGACTCTTGCAAGGCCTCAGGTCTGAGGTGTGAGCTCAGCCCTACCGTGTGAGGCCTACAGTGCCGGTTGAGAGGCTCAATGGTATGCAGCAGACGGAGCGGTGAATGCAGCAAAGGTGTGAGGCCGAGGGTGTGAGGTGCAGGTTGAGAGACTCACTGGTATGCGTCCATGCCTGGTACGAGCTCCAGTCCTTCCAAGCTCGGAGGTACAGTGAATGCAGCACAGATGTGTGACTCTTGCAAGGCCTCAGGTCTGAGGTGTGAGCTCAGCCCTACCGTGTGAGGCCTACAGTGCCGGTTGAGAGGCTCAATGGTATGCAGCAGACAGAGCGGTGAATGCAGCAAAGGTGTGAGGCCGAGGGTGTGAGGTGTGGGTTGAGAGACTCACTGGCATGCGACCATGCCTGGTACGAGCTCCAATCCTTCCAAGACCTTCAAAGCAAGGCCTAGGTATGTGTGCCTGCATGGTGTGGTGAGAGTGAGGCCTACGGTGTGAGGTGTGGGTTGAGAGACTCACTGGTATGCGTCCATGCCTGGTACGAGCTCCAGTCCTTCCAAGCTCGGAGGTACAGTGAATGCAGCACAGATGTGTGACTCTTGCAAGGCCTCAGGTCTGAGGTGTGAGCTCAGCCCTACCGTGTGAGGCCTACAGTGCCGGTTGAGAGGCTCAATGGTATGCAGCAGACGGAGCGGTGAATGCAGCAAAGGTGTGAGGCCGAGGGTGTGAGGTGCGGGTTGAGAGACTCACTGGTATGCGTCCATGCCTGGCACGAGCTCCAGTCCTTCCAAGACTTTTGAGTCGACTCAAAAGTCACCTCTCCACGGTGTGGGATGAGAGCCTCACTGGTATGCGCCCATGCCTGGCACCAGCTCCAATCCTTCCATGTTTGGTGGTAGAGTGAATGAAGCATAGATGTGCGTGCTATGAGGTGTGTGCTCAGCCCTACGGTGTGGGATGAGAGACTCACTGGTATGCGTCCATGCCTGGGACGAGCTCCAATCCTTCCATGCCCTGAAAGGAGAAGCAGGCAGAGGGAGAGACAAGCACACGGAGAGCAGGGGGGAATTCATTCAAGATTCTTTTCAGACTACCCCACGGGCTAGTGTGTCAGTGAGGGCGTTGGGTGGCTCGCATGGGTTGCACTTTTGAGTCGACTCAAAAGCACACGGAGAGCAGGGGGGAAGTCATTCAGGATTGTCTTCAGACTACCCCACGGGCTAGTGTGTCAGTCAGGGCGTTGGGTGGCTCGCATGGGTTGCACTTTTGAGTCGACTCAAAAGCACACGGAGAGCAGGGGGGAAGTCATTCAGGATTCTTTTCAGACTATCCCATGGGCTAGTGTGTCAGTCAGGGCGTTGGGTGGCTCGCATGGGTTGCACGAGCTCCAATCCTTCCCTGCCCTGACAGTAGAAGCACGCAGAATGAGAGGCATGCAGAAAAGGAGTGAAAGGCAGAAGGAAGGGAAGTATACGAATTACGAATGACAAGCCAAGAAGGAAGCTACAAGCTATTACTCACAGCAGCGGCGGCAGCAGCGATGGCAGCATCATCTTCATGCGTCCACTGTGCAGCAGCAGCGCTGTCATGACTCAGGGCCAGCGACGGTGGAGGAGCAAAGGGAGTGAAGTCCCCCTCACAGAGCGTGGTGTCTCCCTCCACCTGCTCCAAGGCATACTCACAGCAACAGCTGCTCATACTCACGGTCCCACACCTGCCCCAAGCCATACTCACAGCAGCGGCAGCGGCGGCAATGGCAGCATCGTCCTCATGCGTCCACTGCCCAGCAACCCCCTCGGCCCCGTGAGCCAGGGCCAGAGATGGCGGAGGAGCAAAGGGAGTGAAGTCCCCCTCACAGAGCGTGTTGTCTCCCTCCACCTGCCCCAGCCTCTCCCACACCACGCCTGGTTGGTTCAGATAGCCCTGATCGGTGACCAGCAGGTAGATGTGGTTGGTGCGCTGGGGGTGGGGAGAGGGAGGGACGGAAGGGAAGGGAGGGAAGGAAGCTAAGGGAGCGTGGTGCCGCCCTCCACCTGCCCCAGCCTCTCCCACACCACGCCTGGTTGGTTCAGATAGCCTTGATCCGTGACGAGTAGGTAGATGTGGTTGGTGCGCTGGTAGCAGGGGAGGGAAGAGCGCAAAGGGAGTACAGGGAGTAAAGACAGCTGCACAGGTCGAAATCTGAGGCTCCATAAACGACAAAATCCGCCTCTAAAGGCGAAGTCCCCCTCACAGAGCGTGGTGTCTCCCTCCACCTGCCCCAGCCTCTCCCACACGACGCCTGGCTGGTTCAGATAGCCCTGATCGGTGACGAGTAGGTATATGTGGTTGGTGCGCTGAGGGTGGGGAGAGGGAGGGACGGGTCACGGAAGGAAGTGGGGCAAGGGAGGAAGAGAGTGAGTTTTCCCCCTCCACCTGCCCCAGCCTCTCCCACACGACACCTGGTTGGTTGAGGTAGCCTTGATCGGTGACGAGTAGGTAGATGTGGTTGGTGCGCTGAGGACAGGGAGAGGGAGGGACAAAAGGAGGAAGCTAAGGGAGTGAGGTGTCGCCCTCCACCTGCCCCAGCCTCTCCCACACGACACCCGGCTGGTTGAGGTAGCCCTGATCCGTCACCAGCAGGTAGATGTGGTTGGTGCGCTGGGGGTAACAAGGGTGGCAGGGTGGGGAAGGGAGAGTGAGTTGTCTCCCTCCACCTGCCCCGGCCTCTCCCACACAACGCTCGGCTGGTTCAGATAGCCCTGATCGGTGACCAGCAGGTAGATGTGGTTGGTACGCTGTGGGTGGGGAGAGGGAGGGACAGGTCACGGAAGGAAGTGGGGCAAGGGAGGCAAGGGAGTGATTTTTCCCCCTCCACCTGCCCCAGCCTCCCCCACACGACGCCGGGTTAGATGTGGTTGGTGCTCTGGGGGTCATGGCAGGGAGAAGGCGGGGATTGAAGGTAGGAAGGGAGTGAGTTGTCTCATCCCACCTCTCCCACACGACGCCGGGTTGGTTGAGATGGCCCTGATCCGTCACCAGCAGGTAGATGTGGCTGGTACACTGGGGGTGATTGGAGGAAAGGAGGGATTACCGTGAAAGGAGGGAAGAGAGGGGTGAAGGGAGTGGATTTGACTTGGCTGGTTGAGGTAGCCCTGATCTGTCACTAGCAGGTATATGTGGTTGGTGCGCTGAGGACAAGGGGAGGGGGGAGAGGGGAGCATGTGGAAAGGGAGGTGGGAGAAAGGGATGAGGCAGAGGGATGAGCAGTGCTTCAGAGAATAAAAGGGAGGTAATATGAAAACATATTATGAGGCACCTCAAGAGAAGATGGAAGAGGTATTGTGAAAGCAAATACTTGAAGGAGGCAAGGGCGGCAGTGAAAGAGGTGTGGTGGAGCGAATTCACCTTAAACTAATTCTTATATTTGTTCACCTTATATATGTACCCCCCAACCACCGAATATCACCTTAAAAGAGAGTGCTGAATTGGTTGTTGCGGAAGAAAACGCAGAGCCCTGAGACGGCTTTGTGAGTGTACCTGTGAGCTTTATAAGTGAAAAGAGTCACCTTAAAGAGAGTGCTGAAATGATTATTGCGGAAGAACACGCAGAGCTGATTCTCCTTCACTCCCTCCTGTAGGCTGAAGAGGCTGGTGTGATGGGGACAAGGGAGGGGCGTGGTGGTGGTGCATATGGGAAGACACGTGGTGAAGCAAAGGAAATGCATAAGGGAACATTCATTCGACGGATTGACGAGAGGAATCCGGGATTTGACAGTGGTTGACGGAATGAGGAGAAAGCGAAGATAAGATTGAGGGGATGATGTAATAGGAAGGTGAGGAAGACAACAAGGATGAGGAGGAATGAAGAAATGTAGTCGAAACGAGAGGGAAGAGGCGAAAGGGAAGAGAACTTGTTTTGAGTCGACTCAAAACAGCGCGTGTAATGAGTCGAGTTTTGAGTCGACTCAAATCAGGAATCAAGAAATGTAGTCGAAACAAGAGGGAAGAGGCGAATGGGAAGAGAACTTTTGAGAATTCTCGAAAGTCGCACTAATGAGGAGGAATCAAGAGATGTAGTCGAAACGAGAGGAAAGAGGCGAACGGGAAAAGAACCCTCGCCTTACCCGTGCTGACTTTTGAGTCGACTCAAAAGGTGAGGAAGACGACAAGGATGAGGAGGAATCAAGAAATGTAGTTGAAACGAGAGGAAAGAGGCGATAGAGAAGAGAACTTTCGCCTTACCCGTGGTAAGTGAGCTGGCTGGCTGTGTCGTTGAGAAACGTGAAGAGCAGCAGAGCTGATAAGGCGGCGCCTTGAACATACTCAAGAGTCACCTTGTTACTCCAATGTCAAGAGTGTAACGCACCCGTGGTAGGTGAGCTGGCTGGCTGTGTCGTTGAGAAACGTGAAGAGCAGCAGAGCTGACGGTAGGGGAACGGACACAGATGGCAGAGAGGGGAATGTGGAGAATGGAAGAATGGGGTGAGCAGGACGAATGGGGTGAGCAGGATAGATTGAAAGCAGCAAAAAAACAAGAGCAAAAATATTATTATGCGTGTACTTTTAAGTCGTTTAGAAAAGCACACTTGGTTAGGACCTAACTCACTGAAGGACCACTTGAGAATTCTTCTGACCCCACACCTAACTCACCTTCCCGCACATCATCCCGCATTTGTGTTTTGAGTCGACGCAAAACAGGACCACTTGAGAATTCTTAAGACCCCGCACATAACTCACCTTCCCGCACATCATCCCGCATCTCCCCTCCCCCTGCCTGCTCCCCCCCTCCTACTGCCAGTGCAGCTCCCCCTTCGCTCCTCCCCGCTCCATCCCCACTCCCGCACACCTCCCCTTCCCTCTGCTCTCCCTTCCCTCCATCTTCCCTTCTCCCTTGCTCCTTCCCTCTGCCCCCCTCTTCCCTCCTCACTTGCTCCTCCTGGCTTCTAACCTTCTCTTCAGCAGGCCTTTCTGGAGCAGAAGCAGCCTCACCCCCCTGCCTCGTCTCTGCACCACTCTCTACCCCCTCCAACCCCTCACCACCCTTCTGTCTTCTCTCTACACTTTCTCCCTCTGTATCCCTCTCACACTCCGCCCCGCTTGTTTCTTCTGCAGCAGCACAGGCTCGGGCAGCCGAGGCAGAAAGAGGCTCGGAGGATGTACGAGGCTCGGAAACCGATGCAGGCTCGGATGCAGGAACAGGCTCGGAAGCTGGATGAGGCTCAGAAACCAGTGACGGATCGGAAAGTGGTAAAGGTTCGGAAAGGAGAAGGGCTGCAAGGGACTCAGCCAGGGCTGCTGCTGTCACTTCCCCCTCCCCCTCCCCCTCATTCACTGCATCTCCTTCATCTCCTAGGACTGTTTCCCCCTCCCTTTTTTCTTTCCCCGCCATTGTTTTCCCCCCACCCTCCTGCCCACCACTCCCTGCTTTTCCCACATCCCCTCCTTCCCCAGACCCACTTCCCACTCTTCTTTCTCCTAGTCCCTCCCCACCACCTACTCCCCCAACTCCCCCTTCCCCGCTTCCCCCTCCTCCTCCTCCTCCCCCTCCCCCTCCCCCTCCCCCGCCCAGCAGAGCAGCAGCAAGGTCGGGGTGGGAGGCCTGCAGGGCGACGAGGCGCTCCACGATGCTGTTGTAAGAGAGAGACCCCACCGCTGCTGCTGTGGCCGAGTCCTGGGGTAAGGGGTTTAGGGTTTGGGGATTAAGGGTAGAGGATTAGAGTTCGGGGTGGGAGGCCTGCAGGGCGACTAGGCGCTCCACGATGCTGTTGTAGGAGAGGGAGCCCACCGCTGCTGCTGTGGCTGAATCCTGTTTTGAGAGGGGGTTTCAGCACTTATGAGGCCTGCCGGGCGACGAGGCGCTCCACGATGCTGTTGTAGGAGAGGGACCCCACCGCTGTTGCTGTGGCCGAGTCCTGGGATACGGGGATTACGAGGGGTTGAGAGGAGGGTTTGATGCGCTTCAGAGGCCTGCAGGGCGACTAGGCGCTCCTTGATGCAGCTGTAGGAAAGAGAGCCCACCGCTGCTGCTGTCGCTGAATCCTGCATGGGGTTTACAGGGTTCAGGGTTTAGGATTTGGGGCTTGAGGGTAGAGAATAAGAGGTCGGGGTGGGAGGCCTGCAGGCAGCAAGGTGCCCCTCGATGCTGCTGTACGAGAGGGAGCCCACCGCTTCTGCTGTGGCCGAGTCCTGCACGGGGTTTACAGGGTTCAGGGTTTGGGATTTGGGGCTTGGGGGTAGAGGATAGGAGGTCGGGGTGGGAGGCCTGCAGGGCAGCAAGGTGCCCTTTGATGCAGCTGTAGGAAAGAGAGCCCACCGCTGCTGCTGTCGCTGAATCCTGCATGGGGTTCACAGGGTTCAGGGTTTGGGGCATCTACCAGCCAGCCATGCACGAGGCTGATGTCCAGCAGGTCGAAGATGGCAGCATGCTGTACCATGCTCTACCGTGCCGTACCGTGCTGTACCGTGCTGTACCGTGCTGTACCGTGCTGTACCGTGCTCTATCATGCTCACCTGCGAGTCCACCAGCCAGCCATGCACGAGGCTGATGTCCAGCAGGTCAAAGATTGCTGTCTCTGGCGTGAACTCAAAGGCATGAATGCTGATGCATGGGGATGGGGGGGGGGAACAAGCAAGGAAAGAGGAGGAGGGGAGAAGGCTGATGTCCAGCAGGTCAAAGATTGCTGTCTCTGGCGTGAACTCAAACGCGTGGATGCTGGGATCGGGGAGAGGATGAGGGATGGGGATATGAACATGCAAGGAGATGGGGAACGAAGAGGGGGAGGGGAGGGGAAGGCTGATGTCCAGCAGGTCAAAGATGGCTGTTTCTGGCGTGAACTCAAACGCGTGGATGCTGGGATGGGGATGGGGATGGGAATCAGAACACACAACGAAATGGGGGAGGGGGGCAGAAGGGGGGAGGAAGCGGAAGGCTGATGTCCAGCAGGTCAAAGATTGCTGTTTCTGGCGTGAACTCAAACGCATGGATGCTGATGCATGGGGATGGGTGAGGGGATGGGGATGGGAACACGCAAGGAGACGGGGAACAAGGAGGGGGAGGGGAAAAGGGAAGGCTGATGTCCAGCAGGTCAAAGATTGCTGTTTCCGGCGTGAACTCAAACGCGTGGATGCTGGGAAGGGGATGGGCGGGGTGGGGACAAGCAAGGAAAGAGGAGGAGGGGAGAGGCTGATGTCCAGCAGGTGGAAGATGGCTGTTTCTGGCTTGAACTCAAACGCGTGGATGCTGACGGCATGGGGATGGGTAGGGGGAAGGGGATGGACGGGTGGGGGGACATGCAAGGAGAGGGAAGGGAAGGAGGGGGAAGGCTAATGTCCAGCAGGTGGAAGACAGCTGTTTCTGGCTTGAACTCAAACGCGTGGATGCTGATGCATGGGGATGGGGAGGGGGGGAGGGGAGGGAGCGAGGGAGGGGGAGGGGGATGGGATAGGTGCACGCAAGGAGAGTGGGGAGTGGGGAAGGCTGATGTCACTGAACTCAGCTCATCCTGAAAATCCTTACCTCACACACGAAAGGAGTCGCACTCATACCCTGTGAACCGCACTCAACCGCCGTATGCACCCCAGCTCACCCTGAGCATCGCACTGCATGCCCCATCTCACCCTGAGCACTTCATTGCACGCCCCGCATGCATCACCCCGTGCACCGCACTGCACCGCACTGCACGCCCCATATCACCCCGTGCACTGCACTGCACCGCACTGCACGCCCCATATCACCCCGTGCACTGCACTGCACCGCACTGCACGCCCCGTCTCACCCTGTGAAGCGCACGTTGACGTCAATCCCCGTGGCGAGGCGCGGCAGCAGAGCCATGCAGTCTGCCACGTTCTGCCGCCTGTTGCTCCCATACCCGGGGGAGCGGCCCTTTGCACCGCACTGCACGCCCTCTCTCACCCTGTGCACCGCACTTAACCGCACAGCACCACACTGCACGCTCCGTCTCACCCTGTGAAGCGCACGTTGACGTCAATCCCCGTGGCGAGGCGGGGCAGCAGAGCCATGCAGTCTGCCACGTTCTGCTGGCGGTTGGTCCCACCATACCCGGGAGAGCGGCCCTGTGCACCGCACTGCACCGCACTGAATGCCCCATCACACCCTGTGCACCGCACTGAATCTCACTGCACCGCACTGCACGCCCCAGCTTACCCTGTGAAGCGCACGTTGACGTCAATCCCCGTGGCAAGGCGCGGCAGCAGAGCCATGCAGTCCGCCACGTTCTGCTGCCGGTTGGTGATATACTCTGCTGAGCGGCCCTGAGAAAGGTAAAAGGAACGTGAGAGGCGGAGGGACAGTAAGAGCAGAGCCATGCAGTCCGCCACGTTCTGCTGCCGGTTGGTGATATACTCTGCTGAGCGGCCCTGAGAAAGGTAAAAGGAACGTGAGAGGCGGAGGGACAGTAAGAGCAGAGCCATGCAGTCCGCCACGTTCTGCTGCCGGTTGGTGATATACTCTGCTGAGCGGCCCTGAGAAAGGTAAAAGGAATGTGAGAGGCGGAGGGACAGTAAGAGCAGAGCCATGCAGTCCGCCACGTTCTGCTGCCTGTTGCTTATGTACTCTGCTGAGCGACCCTGAAGAGGTGAGAGGAAGGAAAGAAGGAAGGAAAGGAAGGTTGACGAGGGGTTGAATGGAGGAAAATGGGTGAGTCACGTTCATGCAGAGCCATGCAGTCCGCCACGTTCTGCTGCCTGTTGCTTATATGCTTGCTGAGCGACCCTGAGAAGGGTGGAAGGAAGGATGGATGCGAAAGGGAGGAGGAGCGAGTCACGTTCAAGTCAGCCATGCAGTCCGCCCCGTTCTGCTGCTGGTAGGATCCAATTTTGAGTGGACTCAAAGATTGAAAAACGCCATACTCTGTTGCACTTGTACTCTCCAGAGCGACCCTGAGAAGGGTGGAAGGAAGGATGGATGCGAAAGGGAGGAGGAGCGAGTCACGTTAAAGTCAGCCATGCAGTCCGCCCCGTTCTGCTGCTGGTAGGATCCAATTCTGAGGATCCAATCCACGTTCTGAGTGCACGTTCTGAGAAATGCCAGACTCTCCTGTCTCACCTCTTCCCCTCTTCCCCCTCCCCGTCCCCACCAATCCCCTTCTTTCCCTCCCTCCCCCTTCCACGCACCTCCATGCCTGTGTTGCTGTCCAGCAGTAAGTGCGCCACCAGAGACAGCAGATCCGACTGGGAATGCTATGCTCTTCCCCCTCACCTCCCTCTTCCCCTTACCATTTCCCTCTCTTTCCTTCCCTTCCACGCTCGCACCTCCATGCCTGTGTTACTGTCAAGCAACCGGTGCGCCACCAGCGACAGCAGGTCCCACTGGGAATTGCCATGCTCTTCCCACTGGGAATTGCCATGCTCTTCCCACTGGGAATTGCCATGCTCTTCCCACTGGGAATTGCCATGCTCTTCCCACTGGGAATTGCCATGCTCTTCCCACTGGGAATTGCCATGCTCTTCCCACTGGGAATTGCCATGCTCTTCCCCTGCTGTTGTCCCCAATTCCCCTCTCCCTTTCCTCCCTGCCTTCCACGCACCTCCATGCATGTGTTACTATCCAGCAGCCGGTGCGCCACCAGAGACAGCAGGTCCGACTGGGAGGTGCCATGCTCTTCCCCTCACCTCTTCCCCACTATCCCTTCCCATTTCCCTGTCTTTCCTTCCTGTCCACGCACCTCCATCCCTGTATTGCTATCCAGCAGTCGGTGCGCCACCAGTGACAGCAGGTCCGACGGGGAATGCCATGCCCTCCCCCCACCCTTCGCCCCCACCTCCCCCTCCCACTTGCACGCACCTCCATCCCTGTATTGCTATCCAGCAGCCGGTGTGCCACCAGTGACAGCAGGTCCGACTGGGAGATCTCAGTAGCGCTGGGGCGGAGGGAGATGGCGTTGCGGAGCAGCAGCACGTTGGCTGAGAGGAAGGGAAGGAAGTGAGAGGGGAATATGGGATAGAAACACGTGCTCTGAGTTGACTCGAAAAAAGAGATCTCGGTAGCGCTGGGGCGGAGGGAGATGGCGTTGCGGAGCAGCAGCACGTTGGCTGTGAGGGGATGAAGTGAGGGAGGGAGGAAGTGAGGGGGGGAGGAAGTGAGGGGGGGATATAAAAACAAGGGGATTTCGCGTTAGGAAGTAGCAGCACAATGGCTTGAAGCGAGAGGGGAGTGAAGAGAGGGGGGTATAGCAGGTGTGAAGAGCTTGCCAGGGGAGGAGCATTGGGGGAGGGGAAAGGGGGTGTGTATAGCAGCGGAAAGAAGAAAGGCGCTCACCATTTCTGAGGAGGGCTTTTGAGGCGTCTCAAAAGAAGTGCTTGCGAATGGCGAGGAGGATGGGGGAAGGGGAAGGGGGTGTATATAACAGGGATGAGGCGCTCCCCATTTCTGAGGAGGGCTTTTGAAACGTCTCAAAAGAAGTGCTTGCGAATGGAGAGGAGGATGGGGGAAAGGGAAGGGGGTGTATATTACAGGGATGAGGCGTTCACAAATTCCGAGGAGGGCTTTTGAAACGTCTCAAAGGAAGTGCTTGCGAACGGAGAGGAGGATGGGGGAAGGGGAAAGGGAGGGGGGGTGTAAATAACAGCAGTGAAGTGCTTCCAATGGAGAGGAGGATGGGGGAGGGGGGGTGTATATAGCAGCGGTGAAATGCTCACCAATGCCGAGGAGGGGGCACGGCCCGTTGTCGTTTTGCATGACGATGGGCACCTGCTGCCGCCCCAGGAACGACACGCGCTTTATCTTGTACCAGCTCTCCGCAGCCTCCCCTCCCCCGCTCTGCCCCTGCCCCTGACCCCCACCCGATTGCGTCTCTTTTCCTCCTCCCCCCTCCTCTCCGCCCCGCTCCGCCTCCCCTCGCCCCTGACTCTGCCCCTCATCCTGACCCTGCCCTCCTCCCTCTGCCTCCGCCAACGGCGGCGCAGCAGGCGCTGGAGGACTAGCAGACGGCGCTCGGGGACTGGCGGAAGGCGCTGGGGGAGTGGCGGAAGGATCTGAGGGAGTGGCGGAAGGATCTGGAGGAGTCGCGGAAGGTGCTGGGGGAGTGGCGGAAGGCGCTGACGGAGTGGCGGAAGCATCTGGGGGAGTGGCGGAAGCCGCTGGGGAAGAGGCGGAAGGATCAGGAGGAGTGGCGGAAGGCGCTGCTGGATTGGCGGAAGGATCTGAGGGAATGGCGGAAGGATCTGGGGGAGTGGCGGTTCCAGCGGAAGACTGTTGCGCTGTCATGGTCTCATGAGACGTCTCAACTGTCGCCACTGGGGAAGTGGGATCTGCAGCGGAGAATTGATGTGTAGCCATGGCCTCTGTGCCTCCGCAATGAACGGCTACAAACTCGCGGTGAAGCTAGACCCTCAAGTTCGTTAATAGGCGCCTCAAAAACAGGCCTCTGTGTCTCCGCAATGAACGGCTGCAGACTCACGGTGAAGCTAGACCCTCAAGGTCTGAGAAGTCTCAAAACCAGGCCGTTATGCTGAGACGTGAGAAGACACAGGAGGTCGCAACTGGTGACAAGATTCGCTACAATTTGTAACTAAAATTGTTACGCTCCGAATGACGACTACAAACGTCAGGCTCCAGAATTTCCTGATTCCGATCCGTACGATCATCAATCGGACGGTTTCGGGAGAGACGAAGAGACTAGCCAGCACCACCGCTGCTCATGCTTGCTCGTATGCAGCCATGAATGCCTGGACTATCAGACAACTTGTAATTTTTATCGTAAGTGCTTCTATATCAGGACTAAGATTATCGAGGAGTGCTTGCTGGAATGCGAGGAAGGAACGCGCAGCGGATGATACACCAGACAGAAGGAAGTATGAAGATTGAATGACAAGACAAGACAGCCGGACGCAATTCCCCAGGTTCTATACCAGGACTAAGATAATCAAGGAGGAGTGCTTGCTGGAATGCGAGGAAGGAACGCGCAGACGATGATGCACACGGAATAGAGTATGACGGACAGGCTGACGGAATTCCCCAGGTTGATCGGACGGAAAGCATGAAATTGAATCTCCGGCATTGGGAAGGGAATATCCGAGCTGAAACGTAGCAGTCAAATTCCAGTCACCCCCGGTCACGGAACAATCTAGGAACAATACACCCAAGGAACCTAAACCAAAGGAACCGAATTCGAAATCAAATAAACCGAGCGGAAAAGACTTCACATCCCTTTGATGCGACATCACCCAAATGATCCCCCACCCACGGATACGGTGACCGTGCCATCTGCTGCTGCTATGCCCAAAGGGCGGGTCATTCTCGTTCGTTTCAATGCAGCTCAATGAGATGTTTCACGTTTTACAGCGGTATAAATATTTTTAGAATGGTCGAAATGGGTATTAAGCAAAAATGAAATGAAAATACCCGCCCTGATGCACCCTCACGATTCCCCGTGCCAAACCTTTTGGAACCGAGCATTTTCGGAAACCTACTCCCTGACGGCTTCCTAGTTCTGGAGAGAGCCTCTGTGTGTAACATAAGGACGCGTCCCCTGAAGCGGATCGATCGGCTGGAAGATCGGTTTTGCGCGTGGGGTGTAGAACTGTAGTGTCGTAATCAACAAGGTAACTAATATCGTCAATGTTTACGAATGTACAGTGAACAAAGTTGCACGACCCTGTCACTTACGGGAGCCCCATTCGATGTAGCGAAGTGCACATATCGAGCGTGAGATTGCTTGGCGCGGTGTGGAATTTCGCGCCACGAGTGACAGTCAAAATCGATCTCCTTCGCTCGTCGTCGCATTGTTACTGCACGACGTCGCATACAGTGGATTTCCATGTGCGACTTTTACTCGCGACAACCTAGCTGTTGTCGCAGGTTGGGTGTACTGTACCTCAACCCCGAAACCTGCCTTACCGAGCCTGTCACCTGTATATCGGTGCGCCGTAGTTGCGCAGTCCTGGGCACCGATCTCTACCGAGCCTAGGCTCGAAGTGACGGTCGGTGCGGATCGGCCGATCTTCGGCCGAGCCGCTTCAGGGGACGCGTCCTAACACCGTCGGCGCAATATTTCCTCGCGGCCCAAGTCTAACCCTATGTGACGTTCCTAATTGCACCCTTTTTTTCTAAAACTGGCACAGTATATGTGAGCTTGCCCTAGTTGCGTAATCTCGGACGAGGAGTCGGGCGGCATAATTTTGTCTGCAGCGATGATGACATACGAGGCAAGCCTATTCGTCTCATTTGGCTCTGGTTTCGTTCCGCGTTGCCGTCCCTCCGTTAGATTGCTGTCCTTCCGTCAGGTTGCTGTAGCTCCGTCAGGTTGTTTTCCGTCAGGTTGCTGTGTGACAGTGTAGGTGTGTCCCTTTCGTGTCATGTATGCATGCACCAGGGCGGGAGGAGCAGCGCAAGGGGGCGATAGGGGAGGCCCTGACGCATTTGGCGGTGCTCCCAGCCAATGCTGTGCTCCTCTTGTGCTGCTTGCGGTGTGCTGCTTGCGGTGTGTCATTCTTGCTATGCACTTGGCATGGCAGGAGGAGCAGCGCAAGAGGGCGATAGGGGAGGCACTGACGCACACCTTGTTGCCGGCCAATCCAATCCAATCCAATTATGTGCTCAGACTGTGCTGCTCACGTTCTTTCTTGCTATGCACTTGCTGTGACTATGCTCGTATGGCAGGAGGAGCAGCGCAAGGGGGCGATAGTGGAGGCACTCACACACTTCTCGGTGCTCTCGGCCAATGCCATGGCGACAGGTGTCACCACCACGCGCATGCGCCTGCAGCTCATGAAAGTGCGTGCGCTATAGTCACATGTCTGCCTGCGTTATCGTCACATCCCTGCCTGCGTTATTGTCACACCTCTGGTATCTCAATGACCTCATTTATGTCCACATCGCACTCACCTTGTCACACTCACCTCATCCCTTCCTCTCCATTCCGCTCCCCTCCACTCCCCTCTCCCTCCCTCCACTTTCTCCCGCCCCTGTTCTCCTCACCACCAGAAGTACTCAGAATTGCGGGACTTCTGGTTGACAGAGGAGGATGTAAACCCATCAGCGCCTTTTTCCACCTCTTCCCACCTCATTCTGCCCTTTTCCCTCTCGTCTCCCCCCTTCCCCTCCCCCTCCCCGTCTTCTCTCTCCCCACCACCAGAAATACTCAGAAGTGCAGGACTTTTGGTTGACAGAGGAGGATGTGAACCCATCAGCACCGCCTACAATCCATCCCGACCTGCTTCATTACATCGTCACACACGATCCCCGCCTCTCCCCCTCCCGCTCCACCCGCCCCTCCACCTCCTACCCCCCCAACGCCTCCTCCCCGCCCCTCTCCCCCTCCTCCTCCGCCTCCCCCCCCAACACTCCCCCCCCTCGCTCCCTCACTCACTCTCGCTCGCTGGCGGATGGGCGGACAAGGGGGAGGATGGAGGGAGAGGAGGGAGAAGTGGAAGTGGAAGGAGGAAGGGAAGAGGAGGAGGGAGGAAATGGAGGGGAGGAGGGAGGAGGAGAAGGGGAGGGGGATGTTGATGAGGGATTATCAGTGGTATCGGATATGGAAATAGATGGGATGGTAGTCGAGGGGGGAGAGGAGGGGGATGGGGAGGGTGGAAGGTTGGGGGGAAGGGAGGATGAAGATGAGGAGGAAGAGGAGGCGATGGGATGGGGAGGTACAATCAGGCGATCACGGTCAAACCCGCTCATTTGAAGATCTTATCTCCCTTCAAGCAAGGGGCCTACGCCTACGATAAGGGGAGGCGATGGGGTGGGGAGGTACAATCAGGCGATCACGGTCAAACCCGCTCCTTTGAAGTTCCCGCAAGCAGTCTTACACGGGGAGGGGTTACGGGGAGGAAGAGGAGGAGGAGGACGAGGAGGCGATGGGGTGGGGAGGTACAATCAGGTGATCACGATTGAACCCTCTCCTTTGAAGTTCTTTCTTCTCCTAGCTTCCTCTTCTGTGCTCTTACAGCGAAGGGCCTACACCTACTCGTACATCAGGCGATGGGGTGGGTGGGGCGGTGCAATCAGGCGATGGGGTGGGTGGGGCGGTGCAATCAGGCGAGGGGCGGTGCAATCAGGCGATGGGGTGGGTGGGGTGGTGCAATCAGGCAAGGGGTGGGTGGGGCGGTGCAATCAGGCAATCTCGGTCAAACCCGCTCCCTCGAAGTCCAACTTTCTTCCCTTCAGGCCTCTAGTTTTGAGGTGCCTCGGGAATAAGAGGAAGAGAAGGGGATGGGGTCGGATGGTACGGTACCATCAGGCGACGCGATCAAGGCCAGGCGACGCGATCAAGGCCAGGCGACGTGATCAAGGCCAGGCGACGCGATCAAGGCCAGGCGACGCGATCAAGACCAGGCGACGCGATCAAGGCTACTTTTGAGGCGCCTCAAAAGCCGGATGGTACCATCAGGCGAGGCGATCAAGGCCAGGCCCACTCTTTGAACAACTTCTTTCTCGTTAAGTTTGCTCTTCCCCATGAGTGAGGAGGATCCCTGGGGGGGGGCTCATTTCGTTTTAGATCAGGAAAGGAGATCACAGACGGGCAAATTTGCCTCTTTGAGTTTCTTTCTACCACCGCTTGTAGTTGGAAACTGCCCTCTATTTCAGTCTTTTAACAATGGGTCTACACCTGCACCTTCTTTAGCTTAGCTGCTGTTGAGGACGTCTGCTTTTCACAGAGCAAAAGGATGAATATCCAAAACCGCTGGTACTATATTCAGAACAAAAATAATCTATGCAGCACATACCCACAAGGCGAGACCCCCCCTAACTCTTTTGGCTCATGCTGTCCTCCACAGGACGGAATTGCATAGCAGGCTAGCTGATAGCTGTAGCATGGCAATACAAAAAAAGCTTTACAAAACACTACATAGGATACACAAGTTAAATAAATCATAACTTGTACATAGCAGAAACCAGCGGGCCTGGTGCTGGCCAATCACATGCAGCCGTGCGTCAGCGAGACCAGGAACACAGAGAGCTGTTTCTGTACAGAAAGTGCAGCAAGGGTTAAGGAATAAAATTATTCGACTGCAGCAGTCACAGCACATGCTACCAGCACATGCAGCCACAGCACATGCAGCAGTCACATCACATGCAAACAGATCACATACAGCGACATCATATGCAACAGTCACACCACATCACATGCAGCCGTCACATCACATGCAATCACATTCACATCATATGCAGTAGTCACATCACTTGGAGTCACGTCACATACAGTCACATCACCTGCAGTCACATCACCTGCAGTCACATCACATACAGCCAAGCCAACCACCTGCCAGACCAGGCAGCTTAGCAGTCAAATGGGAGGAGAACGAGGACTAAAATGGGTGGGGACCAATGAGGGATGAAGGGGGGAAAGTAGAGGTCAGGGCCAAGGGGGATGAGGGGTGGATAGGTCGTGGGAGGGGGTTCAGGGAGATGATGGGTGATGGGGGGGGAGAGGGGGGAGGGGGGAGGGGGGAGGATCGGGAAGAGGAGGGAGTCAAGAGGTGAACGGGTGATGAGGGTGATGAGGGGGGGGGGGGGGGGGGAGAGGGGGGAGGGGGGAGGCGGAGAGGGGGGAGGGGGGAGGGGGAGGATCGAGAAGATGAGGGAGTCAAGAGGTGGATGGGAGGGAGACAAGGCGTGAGCAGGGACGAAGTTCAGGTATGGGTGAAGGGAGGAGACGAAGAGTGAGTCGGAAAAAGGGGAAGCAGGAAGGTGGGGGAAAGAGGGGGAACGAGGGGTGAGTGAGTGGTGGGAGATGAGGGTGGGCGTGAAGGAAGGAACAAGAGAGCGCGGCAATGATATGAAGGGGGTGCTGAGGGGGAGAAGGGAGAGAGGGGGGAATGAGGGGAGAGCGGAGAAGATGAGAGAAGAGCGGGAAAGATGAGGGGAGGGCGGCGAGGATGAGCGGAAAGCGGGGAAGATGAGGGGAGGGCGGGGAGGATGAGCGGAAAGCGGGGAAGACGAGGGGAGGGGCGGGAGGATGAGCGGAGAGCGGGGAAGGTGAGGGGAGGGCGGGGAAGGTGAGGAGAGAGCTGGGAAGCGGAGAGATGAATGACGTTACTAGGCTAGGTCATGGGGTGAAGAGGGAGAGAAGGGGAAGCGGGGAAATGGGGAGGGAAAAGGGGAAAATTAGGGGAAAATGGCGGTTTCACCTGTTATCTTTCGCGGATCCTCTCCGTCCTCAAAAAAAACATTCACCGCCCATTCTCCCGTTTCTCCCCGCCACTCACCTCCTGCCCTCCTTATTTACGTCTTCCATCCGGCTACCGTCGACGCGCTCTCTAATCGACGATACGCGCAACGTTACTAATGCGTTAAAAGTGACGCGACCAAATCGTCCGCGGACAAATGTTACTACTCCGCCCGGTATCCGCAAGTGAGAAAAACGTCAGATCTGGAGGCGTGCAACCGAACGCGGTGGGGCGACAACTGAAATGTCGGGTATCCAGATCTGATTCTGCTAGCACGCTACCAAACGCGTGAAGCGACGAACACTAAGAACGACGATTAGAGTGTGCCACAACAAGAAACACGATGCCCTTACGCTCCACGTCGACTACCGCGCTAAGATCTGGTAAACAAGACAAGAATCAAGAAACAGCTATCTAACAAGATGAGAGGCGAAACTACCACTGATAGTGTGTCAACCCTCGAGCTATTTACATCTGGAGAATGACGGGTGAGAGAGAGAGGGGGTTAGGTGTGGCAGGTTCGGCAACTCGAGGTTCGGATTGTTGATAATGCCCTGGTCCATTTCTATTGGCTCACGTGAATCTCATTTCATCCAACCATTGTATTTCCAGCTGCCCGAGTCAGCTTTAGCGAGTCAGCTGAACTTTTCCGCGCCACTCACGTTTCCCATAATAACTAAACGAAAGCCGTCCCGCACCTCACGCAACACTCACACGCGTTCGCACATAAAAACTCATGACCCAACTAAAAAAAGCGCCACGTCAACCATCTCCTAGAAGTTCGAGCCTGCCCTTGCTGTTGCGCGTCACCACACCACGCCGAACAATTTCCCCAGCCCGAAATACGCGTCCTTGGCAAACGCGTTTGCATACGAGCAAGTCAAACCAATCTGCAATTTCAAACCCAAATGTGTAAATTGAATGTACTGTACAATCTGGGCTGGCCTGGTTGGATAAGGTGGGCCCACCTCAAAATGTTCCCCACGCGCCGCCCGACGAATGTCCCCTGCCGCAATTTCGACGCAGCATTTTATTGGCCGATGACACAAGCTACCACACCTCTTCACCGTTTCGGTCAGCTGCACCACCACCATCCATCCATTCAAATCACACTGCACTCGCACCGCGCGGCCAGCCTGGTGTCAGGATCCAGGAATTCCCTCCCACATTTAGACCACACCAGCGTCGCGCCCCGTCCCACCGCACTGCACCTAGGTAAATGCTGTTTCGTATCACTGCAACCTGCATTCACCTATCACTTTTGGGTTGAAGTGAAGAGCCGCTAAGACGAACCGCGAGCGCCGCTGTTCAGAATGGCTGCACTGAATTATTTCATCCACTGATCAACGCTTTTCCTTCTGCTTCAGCAGCAACCTTCCACTTGCACCTCTCTCGAGCTTCATCCGCTCCATATAATCTAGCAATGTTGCCTTTGTATCGTTCTTTTCCTTTCATTTCAGACTCTTGGAAGGATTGTCAAAGAGCTCCAATGTAATGAGCACCTGAAGCTACCTGAAGTACACGGTGAAGCTCGAAGCACGAGGCGGCGTTGAGTTAGGGGTTGGGGTGGGTTGGGTAGGTGTCGTGAGGAGCGAGCTGCCAAGTGTTTCGAGCCGAACCGTGTGCTGACGGATTCTCGCGGCAACATATCACCGCGACAAGATAGTAATCTCCACTGCAAGATCTACGTTCCGCGAGATCATCTCCACAAGAGCAGAAAGATCTTCAAGCGGTTCAAGCGGAAAGAGCTTCAGGCTGGTGGTGCGACATCCCCGTCACCGCTGGTGATGCGCCATCCCGTCACCGCTAGTCGTGCGACATCCCTTCACCGCTGGTCGTGCGACATCTCGTCACCGATGGTCGTGCGAAATCCCGTAACCGCCGGTCGTGCGACATCCCGTCACCGCTGGTGGTGCGAAATCCCGTAACCGCTGCCATTCAAGTCTTCACCACATCCCGAGTTGAAGACGGTCGAGTGAAGGTAAGAGCAGTTTTTCTCAACATCCCGAATTGTGCAACATCGTTCAAGTTCTTTCTGCAGTTCCTTCACTGTTTGACGATTTTCTGAGAAGTTTCCTAACTTGTTCCTTTCTTTCCTGCAGATCATCTTGCCGCTGTTCATCTCGGAGGATCTGAAGCTTAAGTCAAGCTCGCGGTAGGCGCTTCAATCACGGGACGGCGCTTCAAAACCCAAGCCAAGCCGGAAGCCCAAGTGTCCCCTGGCGCCACTTCCGAAAGCCATGCTGAGTCAAGATGCTTCCTGGAGCGGCCTCTCCCGTCGCTTGTCAAGATCCGGCACGGCTCGCCAACTGTCGTCACGGATCCTGCACGGCTCGCTTCGACCGTCGCCACGGTATCATTGTGAATCATTGCGTTTCCAAGCTTGGCTTTGAGTTAACTTTCGTTCTTCTTCTCACTTGTCCAAGTTTCGTTCTTCTTCTCTAAGTACTAATATTTTGTTGCCTTATCTTTCCAGACCCAAGTCAAGACGGACGAGGAAAGGAGCTTCGAGCGTCGTTATCGTCCGATCTCCGGTCGGGTCGCATTCAAGCCCAAGTCCATATCTTCGGACGGGTCGCGTTCAAGCCCAATTCAAGATCTCCGGATGGGTCATGAGAGGCGTTCCTCCGCCGTTTGCGCTTTGAGCTAAGAAAACCTGAAAGGCCGGACCTTATGGGTCAGAGTCGCGTCGTCAACTGTTGTTGCCTCGCCAACTGTCGTCGCCAACTGGTTTGCCGACCGTCGCCTCGCCGGCCGTTGCCAATGGGTTGAAGTACGTAATCACTGGCTCTATTACCTCCAATGGACTTTGATTTCACTTCACTTCTCCTCGTCGCTTGTCTACGTTTAGCTCTCACTAACTAATATGTCTTTTTTATTTCAGACCTCGGCGAACATCTTGCCTTCTTGAAGTTGCTCAAGTTGCCAAGACGGCCTCTCCCGTTGCTGCCGTCTTCACCTGACGGGACGGCCTATCCCGTTGCTACCGTCTTCACCTGACAGGACGGCCTCTCCCGTTGCTACCGT